TACATACTACAACCTGGATGAACCTTGAAAACGTTATGCTAAATGAAAGAAGCCAGTCACAAAAGACCACATGGAATGATTCCATTTACAAAATTATTTATTTGCCTGTCTCAGAGGCTGTGAGAGATGGGGAGTGACAGCTAATGTGTATGAAGTTTCTTTCGGGATGATGAGAACATTATAAAATTGATTGTGGCGATGGTTGCACAATTCTGTGAACTGTACACCATTGAACTGTACACTTTAAACAGGTGAGTTATATGATATGTGAATTATATCTCAATAAAGCTGTTAAGTATTAATAGAGGTAATATTTGGATAGTAGGATTATAGAAAGTTTTTTTTTTCATTTAAACTTATCTATGCTTTCTAACTTTTCTACAATGAATATGACTATTTTAAGGGATTAAAAAAATCTTCGCATATTATCATATAGAAATTTTCCCATGTTATCATTCAGGAAGCACTAAACACATAAAAGATTCGAAAAAAAGGGAAATAGACCTTTCCTTATAATAGTGGAAACTGCAAACAATCCATATGACCTCAGCAGGGTGATCGCTAGGCAAAGCAAGGCTTAGTACCATGTCAACCCTGGTCCCCAAGCCAGGGCTGAGCACAGAAAGCTCAAATGTTTTGTCATGAATGATGGTTTACTAAAGTGCTACTAAAAGTGACAAAATGCACTCAGAACATTTCCTAACAGGTTATGGGAAACATTATGTGGGAGCGAGGGAGGGAAACCGAACAAAAATATAAACACATATTTTTACACTGTTGTATTTGCTGGGTGTTTGCACATGTCTAGATGTAACTTAAATTTTTAAAAAGGGCCCTAGCCGGTTTGGCTCAGTGGATAGAGCATCGGCCTGCGGACTCAAGGGTCCCAGGTTTGATTCCAGTCGAGGGCATGTGCATTGGTTGCGGGCACATGCCCAGTGGGGAGTGTGCAGGAGGCAGCTGATCGATGTTTCTCTCTCATCCATGTTTCTAACTCTCTATCCCTTTCCCTTCCTCTCTGTGAAAAATCAATAAAATATATTTTAAAAAAATTTTTTAAAAAGGAATGCAAGCTAGGAGCTTATGATTACCTTTTAAAGTTCTACTTTCCCAATCCATATCTAGTCTCTTTTAAATATCTCTGAGAATGTGTTGCTCTGTGGCAGGTTACCAAACATGGGATATAGCAAAGATAAAGACAGGGGAAAAAAATTGCCAGCCCCTGGGAAATATATTCAACCCGCATGTTTCTTATTCATGGACTGTGATTCACCACTGTTTAAGCCAGCATCACACTCTAATCATATTGCTAGGTTACAGGCCCCAAGTTATTTGAGCATAATAAAAATGGAATCCATTTGATACATTAGGTTTTTCTCTCCTATATCATCTCTTTAGGGAGAACATTTGATCATTATAAAACACACACACTACTGAACCAAAAGATTACTTTGGATCCTCAAACCAAAGAAGTTTCCAATGATTCTTCGACCTGAAAAATGGAGTCAGAATCTGAGACAGACAAATAACTATCCCCCAGGCCCACACAGGTGGTGCTACTCCGTCCAGACATGAAGAAACCTTTACGTAGCCCACTGTCCTATATGCTGGGATATGTCCTACCGTTGAACTCTCTCAAGAAGACTTCTCATACACTTTTTCTCCTTGCTCTGAGAAGCTACGCTACTGTGGAAAGCCCAGTGGGCAGGCAAGTTAATGAAATAACACACAAACACATGTGCACAACTACAGTCTCATCTCATGATTAGCAGCCCTGATAACATGAGCTTAATGAAACATTCTCCTCCTGGCCTCAGAATAAGTACCTGCTATCTCCTATTAGGATAATTCAAGCAGGTGATAACTATCAGGATACGTGGCAAGCGAGGACATTCCGAGTTAACACTCGTGTCTCAGATGATGTTCTCAGTGTGTTTCTGTACTTACATGGTCCTCAGTTCACGGGGACGTTTTTTATTCCGCTCTATAACCAAAACACTGGTTTTAATCATTATGTTGTACACCTGAAACTAATATAATATTGTACATCACTGTAATTGGAAAAGAATTTTATTTAAAAATAAATAAAACCAAAACACTGAATAAAAAAATGATATCCTACATAATAAAAGCGTAGTATGCAAATTGTCCCCTCTACCGGGAGGTTGTCCGGGAGTTCAACCAGGGGGCGGGGCAGGCCAGGGGAAGGGAGGGAGCCGCTAGGGACCCTACCAATGCACGGATTTCGTGCACTGGGCCTCTAGTATATTATAACGGAAGAAAGTATTTTGCCACACATGCTACAGACCTCTTTGGTACTCGAGAGAAGGGGCACCTCAACATGGGAAAATGAGGACTACATGACAGCGATGATGTGACAGCAGTGATGTAATACAAACCAACATGAGGTACAAGATCCAGGTCTAGGATGGAGGGGAAAACTCCCTGGATTAACAGTCTCAAATCCTTAATAACACTGATGTTATTGCATTTTGATCTGAAAGCCTAGAGTTGCAGCCCATGATGAGTCAACGTCTGGCTCAATCAGACACAAACTGAAAGAAAAATCACAGTATTGCCTCCAATGCTCTAGTTATATCATCAATCAAAAAGAAACAGCATCCAAACATGCTCCTTGCAGACGTATAATATATACTTTAAAAAAATGACAGAAAGTAAAAAGCACCTGTGTTGGAGGATTCGAGGGGTAAGGAGAGTACATTTATCATCTATGAAGTGCAAGGTGCCTTCAGGCATGTTAGTATGTTAGCTGTCCCCATTGCACTTACAGAAAACAGAGTCTCTAAGAAGTAAAATAACTTGCCTGAGGGCACAACTAGAACTCAGGCTTGTCTATTTTTACAGTCAGTGCATTCTACCCAACATCACTGCTGCCTGGTTTTTACTGCACACTTTGCAATGAGTTTTCATGTAAGAATTCTCACTACATTTGAGGATAGAAATTTTTACTGTTAGATAATTCTGGGAGTGAAATTCTGACCTTTTACCTAAAAATGTAGTGAAAAACATAACCTTTCAATATGGGTCTGGAATATTTTACCAGGAACTCTGAGACGTTTGGATTTCTAAATACAATTTGCAAATATTTACATGAAATGAAACTATATTCCCAACTAAAGCTAAATAGTTATTTGGGGCTGTTTAAGCCTAAGTTATTCAATAACTAAAACACTAGACTCCAATGAAAGAACAGCATGGAAATATGTGGCAAAGAAAACCAATACACTTTGGCCTTCATTATTCGAAATGACCAGTTTCCCTGCCATACATATGGTCATTCTCTTATCTGTGAACATATGCCAAGCAGCAGTTAACCAATCCACGATATAATGTTGAAGTTCAAAACCTGAATCTAGTTGTGAAAGTGGATTTTTTTTTCTTAAATTAGAAGAAAAACTTAAATACACGAGTTCCAACGTGAAGTGTGCACAAACTTTCCTTTAAAAAACAAAACCCGAGTGTGAAAAAGGTAACCTTATATATTACTACAGCTGTTTCCAAATCCTTGTTACTCCAAGAGCATGGAGCACTATTTACCTAAAATGCATAATCTCCAACGAGTTCCCGCTGTGGCACTCAGGTACACATATGTCAGTTTTCCACCTGGACACCTGGCACATGGTATCCACATTAAAGAGTACACAGTGGAGGTCATTAAACAGATCCTGCACCGATGTACCATACCCACATCCTGAACAATATGTTTTTTTAAAAACCACTCGCTAGGTTCTTCCAACCAGAAGAGGAAAAAAAACAAGTGTGTCCACAAAATGTCCTCCCAGCCGTGGTGCCCAAATCCACAGCCAGAGTAAAAGGTCTTAAATAGTTAAATAAATGTAAACCAGGCGCTTCTCCCCCCAAAAAGATGAGAAGACGTCTCGGACAGCCCCCCAGTGTTCTCACAGAAGGAGACAGTCTTTCACTCAAAGTTCTGAAGCGGCTTCGCCGCTGTCCCATATGGGGTCTTAAAAAACGAGCCCAATTCCCACAGCTGAACTTGCTTCACGAAGTCTTGGTGCACAAAAGGCAGCCTCCTGCCTCACCAGACCAAGGAACCTGCAAGACAGGTGAGCAGGGTCCAGCGATCGAGCTCTTGGGCGGAAAAGCTCACTCTCTCGCAACTGCATTCGTCTCCCGAAGTTCTCGCGTATTCAAAGTTCCAACCAGGATTATAAACGCAAGGCATTCCTTTCCCCTCGGCTACAGGGCCCTTTCAGTCCTTCCCCAGCGGCCCCCGCACGCGGAGCCCGCGCCCACTTGTGGGGAGGGTCCGGCAGGTGGCCTTCTGGAGACCAGGGGTGCCACCGGGGCGACACAAAGTTGCG